TCTCTCTCTGTCCCTCTCTCTCTCTCTCTCTCTCTCTCTCTCTCTGTGTCTCTCCCCCCCCCGCTGTGCCATGGCTGGCCCTGTGTCTCTCAGAGAGGGCTCTTCCCACCTCATTCCCCGAGGGCTCCTCTTCATCCCTCAGAGCCCCTCGTGGCCTGGCAGCCCCTGTGAGTGTCCACGCCACACGACTCTAGATGTTTGGCTTCTAGACTGGAATCTGTCACAGACTGTGACCAGGAGGGCAGTGACCAGGCCTCGGCCTCAGCCCCCTGCCTGGCCTGCACTGGCAGGGAGCAGGGCAGGCACAGGCCGGCCTTGAAGGCCGAGGAGTGGAGGGGGAGCCCTTAGCTGGGCCTCGGGACCCTGCCCTCCATCCCCAAGGGTGGGGCTCCGGCCCTCGGGTGCCCACAGCCCCTCTCTCACCCTCCGTGCCCAGCTGTTCCCATCAAGAGAAAGGGGAAGTATCTTTGGGGATTCTCGGACAGTCCCCTGGAGGCGGTCCTGCTGGGAGGTTGGGGTGTGGGGCTGATCCTGTGGGGCTCCATGGAGACCCAGGTCAGGCTGGGTGGAGGGCCTCACAGAGGGCAGTGGGGTGATGGGTGCTGGACTTGGGGGCCTGGGGCTCCTGCACTGTTGCAGAGTGGTGTGGGGAGGCCCAGCCTGGGGGTGAGGGTCTGTGTTTTATGTCTGTGACACTGACCCATCTCAGCCTAGTTTCCCCATCTGCCCTGGGGGCTGGTGTGCACAGAATGCCCTCTAAATCCCCTGCCTGGCCTCTGGCCCTGAGTGCGTGGAGAGGAGGCTCTCAGTGGGATCCCTGGGTCTCTGGGCTCAGGCCCTGGCTGTGACAGGGGCCCCGTGTCCCTGGTGTAGGGAGGAGAGGCCTGGGCCACCTGGGAGTGTTGGTTCTGGGGAGTTCCCGAGAGAGCAGGCATGGGGCTGGGGGCTCGCTTGCTTCCCTCTCCCTGCTGGTTCTGGGGGACCTGGGGGTGAGGGGGTGATACCCTGCAGGCAACCTCGGCAGTGGGGACGGCTGGGGGCTGGGAAGGGCCCCGACTCTGGCCTCCCTGGGCTCCCTCATTTCCTCCCTGATGACCCTGTTGCCCTGGAAGGGGCCTGGGCGCTGCTGGCTGGTGCCAGGAGAGCCCGCGCTGAATGAATGAAGGAGCGAGTGCTGCACTTAGCGGGGGTGCTGAGTGGTAGGTCAGGAGCCCAGGACCTTTCTTCCTGCTGCCCGGGAGGCAACACCCTGGGCCCCTGGAGTCTGCCTTCCAGGGAAGGGGTGCAGACCACAGAGAAGTGAGAACATGGGCACCTGGGACCCTGTGCCAGGCTCGGGGCCTTGGCGTTCAGTCTCAGGGAGGCTGAAATCAGGGTAGGAGGGGCACTGAGGAAGAGGCAGGAGGGCCGAGTCTCACTGATGCCTATGTCAGCCTTGTTTCTTGCGATGCCTCAGTTTCCCTCCTTCCCAGGATGGAGTGCATGAGGTATCTCTTGAGGCTGAGTCTGAGGGGGTGGGGTCGGAAGCCTGTACCAGCAGGTGTAGACGCTGTGACTGTCCAGGACTCCTGCTTTCCTGCCCTCAGGCGTGCCCTTGAGTGCTGGGTGTTTGTGGGCAGTTGGGGAGGGAGCCCCCATGCACTCCAAGGCCCCCAGGAGCTGCTGGGGTATCTACAGTAGCACTAGGGTGTCCGGGGGTGGAAGGTACAAGGGACCCCTTCTGCCTTGGAGCGCCATGTGGCTCTGTGGGCTGGGGGGGTTCTCTGCCTGTGGGGGGCATCTGGCAGGGGCACTGAGGGCCAGGAGTGTGAGCGCACCCTGGAAGCAGCAGACAGGGTCCCCTCTCCCAGGCTCCAGCTGTGGGGTGGAGTCTGTGCTCCTGGGTGCCTCTCGGGGCTTCTCCTCTACCGGGCACAGCCTGGTCCGCCACCCTGCTGCCGAGCATTGGGGCCAGGGCTGGGCTCGTCCACCGGGATGGCAGCCAGCAGTGCACCTGCCTCTGGCACTCGGACGCTTGGCCCCGCAGCACGGTGCCACCCACCCCAGCCTGCCTACCAACACCCTGCCTGGTCCCTCTGCAGTGCCCAGGCCTTCCCCCAGGGCACCAGGGATTGCAATTAGGCTGTGAAGGGGCCCTCCCCTTGCTGGCTGTGGCCAGTGCCACCCAATCAGGCAGCCTGGGACGAGCCCCTAGGGCCCCAGCCTTCGGGCCACGCACTTTCTAGTCGGGGTGCGGACCTCCCAGCTCCCGCCACAGCTTCCTGTGACTGGCTACCCTGCCAGCTCTCCTGTAGATGAGAGTGGGGCCATCCCCAAGCTCCTTTCCACCAGACACCACTGAGTCCCCTGAAGCTGGGGCTGGACCCTGGAAGGTGGTCCCCGGGCCAAAGTCAGGACCAGGAGGGGCTCGGGGCAGTCCTGGGCCAGGCGTCTGGCAGATGGGCTTGCTGGAGGTGGCGGCTCCTGTGTGGAGCAGGCACTGACGGGGCAAATGGGACGTACCTGGGCAAGCACGGGTGGCGCGTGATGGACCTGGGCCTCCATTGGCTGCACCACGCCCAGCAGCAGAAAGGGGCCTCAGGAGCCCTGGTGCCGTCACATGGGTCACAGGGCTCCATGCGGTGCGGGGAGCAGGCAGTCACAAGGGACTCGCTGGTACCTGCCTTGAGGCCTGGGGCTGTGGCCGCCTCTGTGCAGAGGTCTCCCCAGCACCAGGCTCTGCGGGGCAGGGAAGCCCAGCGGGACCTCAGCCGCAGGGAGGCTGAGCAGGGTCCACAGGGAGACCTGGCAAGGCCGGCAGCCTTTGTAGTGCACGCAGCATCTCTGCAGGGGGGGCAAGAGCTGCCCCCTCCCCTCCCAGGGGGCAGGTGGGGGCTCTGGGTCTTTCCCACCCTCCTCCCGTCACGTCACGGGACGAAGGGCTGGCGGGCATGTGACCGAAACTGGTCAGACAGCACTATGGCGGTTTTTATTCGGAAGGGAAGTTTAGGCTCTTGGGCAGAGCTGAGATGGGAACAGGAAACCCACAGGGCCCCTTTATTCGGCAAAAATGTCAGTCAGCACCTCGGGGTCCCTGCGTGTATGAGTGAGGTGGGAAATGCACTTTTTGGGGCTCCCCGTCTACAGGAAACCCAGAGGGGACTGAACCGGTGCAGGGGGGCACTCGCCGCTCCCATGGGCGCCTCCTCCATACCTGCCCTTCCCTAGGCTCTGCCTGGACAGCTCCTGTCCCCGCAGGCCCACCTGTCCCCCGCTGCCTCACCCAGCAGGCCTGAGCCTCCCTCTCCTCCCAGACACCCCCCCAAGCGCTCCCGCCTCTCGGAGTCTCGGATTGAGGCACAGCCTCTCACACGATGGTTTCTGTTTCTCTTTCTCTTTCTCTTTGAGCTGTTAGGCGCGGCAATGGCACCGAGCTCCTCTGCCGGAGGTCGTCCCACGGGCCGGGTTCCTGGACTGCTGGCCTGAGCCGAGGCACATGGCGCCTCCTCCCTGGAGACCAGCCCCCAAAGCCGACCTCTTAAGGCTGGTGAGCCCCCACGCCTCTTCCCCGTTGGTTCCCAGATACTGGTTCTGACCCCAGGGCCTCTCAGAGAGCTCCTTTCCCTGCCCCCACCGCCCCCGTCCTGGCTGTGGCTGGGTCCCTCGTTCAGCCCGTCCCCTGCTGCCCGGGCTCTCCGGCTGACCCAGACCGCCAGCACTGGGCTCAGCACAGGGGGAGAGAAGCAGAGCCACAGCCCCCCCACAGGCCTCCTCCTGTGTGTCCCCCTCTCAACGCTCCATCCACGGGCAGCTGGGGAGCCTGTTTGGCAGGATGTGGGCACTTTGGGGGGCTGGGTGTCTCTTGGCGGGCCTGGAGCAGATGACCCAACTCCCCAGCAGCGCTGACCTTGGTGACAGGTGACAAGATCAGTGTTTGTGCAGCAGGGGGCTGGGCCCGGGTGGGGATACCCTCCGTGCCTGTGTGGCGCTCCTGCCTGTCCAACCGCTTCCCCCATCAGGGGCCCCGACTACCCATCAGCCAGCCCAGGAACGAGGCCACGGCAGAGCTGCCTCCCGAGTGTGGCCCTGGCCAGCCTGTCACCCACTATCTGGCTTGTGAGCCCCGGGGGCCGTCTCTGGCTGCCCTGCTGGCTTGACAGGGGTCAGCAGGTCCAGCCTAGACCAGCACAGGGGCCGACAGGTGGTCTGTCAGAGGGCTCGGGGCTCCCAGGTGTGGGGTTGGGGGCCCTGGAGAGGGCCAAGTGTCAGTTCCCAGGGTGCCACACTGCCAGGCAGGGGAATCAAGGCTGGTGGAGGGGCGGTCCTCACCGGACCCCAGGCTGCAGGGGGGGCACGGTTGTTGCCTGAGCCTGGCCTGGGGCCCGCTGCTGTCCCTTCTACCAGACACTGCCACCCTCCCAGTGCACAGGGGGAGGCTCAGGGTGGGGCCAAACATCTCCCACCGCCTGTTCTGGCACCCTTAGGTGTTGTATCTCACCTTCCTGGGAGCCCCCTGCTGCGCCCCAGCTCTGCCCTCCTGCAAAGAGGACGAGTACCCGGTGGGCACCGAGTGCTGCCCCAAGTGCAGCCCAGGTAAGCGCAGCCCCCGGTGGGCTGGTTCGTGGGCCGAGGGCAGACACTTGTGCCCCTCCCTGCCCTGGACACCCCGTGTTCTCTGCTCACACAGCCATGGTGCAGTGAAACCCCGGGCCCAGCTGCACACACAGGGAGGGCGGGAGCCCCAGGGCAGCAGCTTGGGCGCCTCACCCTGGGAGACTCGCACAGCCACGCCGCACAGGGGTGGGTCTGAAGGACGTGGCCGGCCCATCTTGACCAGAGACATGGGCTCTGGGGTGGGGGGGACATACCAGAGCTGGGCCAGGTGTCCCAGGAGGCCCCACATGCTTCCAGAACTTTCTGATTCTCCCCAGAGCAGCTCTGCTCATGGAAGGCAGCTGGGGCTGCTGTGTCCCTCAGGGAACAGCTCATGGGCCATTCGAGTCCTCTTAGCTGGTGCCCCCCGGCTCAGCCTCTGGGCACGGGCATTCATGATGGGTGGGCTCCCGCAGGGGTCTCCCACAGCCCCGCCAAGTTCCCACCCTCTGGGCGGCAGGTTACCGCGTGAAGCAGGTCTGCGGGGAGCTGACAGGCACAGTGTGTGAACCCTGCCCTCCAGGGACCTACATTGCCCACCTCAATGGCCTGAGCAAGTGTCTGAAGTGCCAAATGTGTGACCCAGGTAAGAGGCCGACACAGCCGGCCCAGCCTCCGCTCCGGCAGCCTGTATGACCCGCACCCTCTCGCCATGACCACAGTCTCCCTGGAGGCCCCGGCTGCCCCAGGCCAGGTCCTGCCCCCATCTCCATGGGTGCGCCCTGCAGGGGACGCCTTCAGGCCAGCACCAGCCTCCACCCACCTCTGCCTCATCACAAGGGGGCCGTGCCCCCACCGCTCACTTTGTCAGGTGGGCTGTCCTGAGCTCAGCGCCTGACCGTTAGCCCTGAACCTTGGCTCCTCCGGTGCCCTGGGTGGGTGCCCAGACCTCTCCTGTGCCCGTGTCCCTAGCTGGAAAGTGGACTGGGCCAGTGCTGGGGCTCTCTGGAGGGCGCTGGGACCTGCTGCTTCCCCACAGGGCTCTTTGTCGCTTTCTCCTCCAGAAATTGGGTTCCCACATGACCCCAGGGGAGGGGGCCACCTGGAGGCTGGTGCCCGCCTGGGTGGAGGCAGACAGGGGAACCAGACCCAGGGGCATGCCTTTGAGTTGGAGCGCAGAGCCCAGCCATGCCGCCAGCGGCTCTGTCCCGTCAGAGCCTCGAGCCAGGCTCAGCACAGCAGGTGCTCGCCAGGCCAGGCAGGACTGCGGCTGCGGCAGGGCCTGGGCCTGCAGGGAGGCACCAGTAGCTGGGCTAGCTGTGAACAGAACAGCAGCTGGAGTGCTTTGAAGGCTTATGCATGGGATTTGGGGTTCACACCTCAACCTGCATGCCCAGTCCAGTGCCCTCCCCTCTTGTGAAAGTACCTGTCTGATTGGGCTGAGAATCCGGGGGTACAGCGTGCCGGTGAGGCTGCCCTCAGGAGGGTCCCAGGGCTGGGGCTGGTACCCCACCTCCAGCAGCACCTGAAGAAGGGGGCTCTCACCCTACCTGGCTGGTTTGCACAGATGGGAAGCCTGTCTGAGGGCTGAGTGTCCAGGGTGGGCACATAGGGCGAAGACCTGCCTGAGAGACCCTGCCCCAGGACTAGCAGTGGAAGCTCCATGTCCTGACCATCTGGGCAGAAGGCTGGCTTCTCCATAAGGCCTGGCTCCCATCAGTGAGACCCTCACAGGACCGTCCCACAGGCCCTCATCCCACACACAGCTCAGCTGTCCCTTGGTGCCCCTCCGGGCCTCAGGTCCTCCATGCCAGGCACCTCATTGGTTGAGCCAGAGGTGCAGCCCGGCAGGGGACCCAGGCAGCAGTACCGGCCTCTGCACACCGTGTCCAGGACGGGGCATCAGCACAGCCTCCCAGCCCAGCGGCTGCTCTCAGCTCCCCTTCTTGGACCCTAGCCATGGGCCTGCTCGCCACCCGGAACTGCTCCAGGACAGAGAACACCCTGTGCAGCTGCGGCCCAGGCCACTTCTGCGTCCTCCGGGATGGGGACCACTGCGCTGCGTGCCAGGCCCACGCCACCTCCAGCCCGGGCCAGAGGGTGCAGGAGGGAGGTGAGTGGTGGGTGGCGCCCCAGGTCTCCTCGACATCATGGCCTGCCCAGCGGCCCTGGTGAGGCAGAACCTTGGCCAGCTCCAGGCCACACACCCCAGCCTTGCCCAGCAGGGAGCAGATGATGGAGGTGGGGGAGGGGGCAGGGAAAGGCCACCCAGGTGCATCCCCCTGGGGGTTCTGGGACTCCCCAGTCCCCAGGCCTCACTCTTGGGCCCCAGGCATGGAGCCTGGGTTTATAGGAGTGACCATGGTCATTGCCACTGTTCAAGCTCAGTCTGGGAGGAGTGAGTGCCCAGCCTGGCCTGGCACCTGACAGGCAGCCCCCACGGTGTTGTGGGATGTGGACACAGAGGGACCCCCAGACTCATGAAATCCCAGCTTCTCAAGGTCTGGGACAGCCAGAGCCACCACCCCAGGCCTCACCTGCAGGACTCCCAACAGGGAGTCTGCCGCTCTCCCAGGCTCTCACACCACCAGCAGAGCACCCTGATCTAGAAGGGCACAGACAAGCAGCCCCCAGCCCCTCCCAGCCTGGTGCCCCCAGCCCCTCCAGCCTGGTGCCTTCAGCCCCCTCCCAGCCTGGTGCCCCCAGCCCC